ACCCACGACATCCATTTCACAACACCAACTAAACAAACTCTTTAAACCAATTAGTCTACTAGCCAGTCACTTGTTAGTACTAATAATCCATCTAAATTGATTTAGGTAAATTGCAAGGTTGGCCACTGAGATTACTAAAAAGGTTCACGTTTGGTCACTAGAAATATTTAATTCTGTTCGTGGTCACTAACTTTACATTTTTGTTTCATCATTGGTCACTCTCCGTCCAACTCCGTTAATTTTGTCCTACGTGGTCAACTCTAATAGTTGACCGTTAAGTGAGTATTGTTGCAATTAACAAATAATAAATAAAATTTTTAAAAATTTCCACCTCATTTTCACAATTCTTAAAAATTAATTCCTTTTAATCTAATAATCTCCCATAAGTAAGCCAAATCGACTCCTTGCATAAAGGCGGCAGCAACGGCAGCGCTGCTGTCATGTGACCTGACTCGGAGGCGGTGCTACTCGGTGCCGGCAAGTAAGCAGCCTCCACAAGCCACAAGAATCCCTCTCATGTTGGGAGTCATTCAATTGGACCTTGTCGATGCAACCAGGCAGTGGCATTCGCTTTAGTTCATCCTAAATATCAAATCCCCAAATCAAAATCCAAACAAAACCCCTAATCCCTAGTTTCACAAAACTAACCAGACTGGAAAAGAAAATGTCCAAAAAAAAAAAGCTCAAATCACCTCTAACTTGTGAAGGTAATCGTAAATGTCGGAGGCATAATGCTGGCACATCTGAGGATCATCGGGGATTGTATCTTTGTCCTTGATATCGACTTCGACCGTCGCCTGCAAGACTTCTTCTTCTGGAACGGGAGCAACAAACTTCTTGGCCTTAGTCCTCCGCTTAGCCTTCGCCTTCTCCTTGGTTGTGCGCTTCTCCGACCTATCACCAGAAGTTAGATCTACCACCACCGCCCCAACATTAGCCACCTGAGGAAGTTCGCCTAACACAACCCTGCTCTTCTTATTCTACTGATGGATAGAAAGGCTCTACTCCACATCCGCTGGAATTGTCACCGTCACCGCTGCCCTCTTCCTAGTAGCGTGAGTGAGTGGAGCGCAGTTCTCTTGATCCGCCATCAGAACAAACTCCTTCTACCTCTGCTTCTCACAATCCGAAATAGAGTTGGAAGAGGAAGAATGGGAGAGAGAGCGAAAAAAAGGGAGTACCATTGTGGTGTGAGGTGGAGAAGTGAGGTAATGTGATTTAGTAATGGCTGGGAGTGAAAAGTAACGAGTGCCATCTTTGTGTTTTCACAATGAGAGGGGCATTATGCACCTATACTTCTCACGTCAACGACTAGCAATTTCAGGCGAACGGGCCTTCACATTAGGTTTCGCCTCCGAAATTCATCTTCTTCCGGCACAAGGACGTTTAGGGCGGCAGTAGTGCTGGGCGATAATGATATAATCAAAGTTGCGCAGGGCCAAGCTTCTCGAACCAAATAGAGCCGGATAGGATGGAAATCGATCGGACAGTATTCACCTGTGAATAAGGGAAATTGATATATGAATCGATCGGATAGATTCAACTCGGAATAAAGGGCAATCGATATGGGTAGCTCTCCACAACCAGGGTGAATACCTAGATGATAAGAGTCGCTCTAGCACTCTGGAGATTCTCGATAGAGTAATTAGGGCAAATTCCTCGTAGGGAACTCGATAATAGCCTCTGAAATTCAATAATAATCGTCTAAGGGCAAACCAACGTATTCAGTCCTTTAAATAGGCAAAGTACAACCCAAATCTGACTCCAACATGGAAAAACAATCATAAACCGACTTTAAAACATGAAAACTCGGAAATAGCCCATCAAACCCGTTAAGCCCAACCCGTTAAGCCTGGACCCGTTAAGCCCAAACTGTTAAGACTGGACCCGTTAAGTAAACCTGTTAAGGCTGGACCCATTAAGCAAACCCGTTAAGGCTGCTTCTTGCAATCTGCCTTCTCCTTCAACGTCATTGCCTTAGCACGTGTGACTGGCCCATTGATGTCCTCATCAGCCCCTCCTTCTTCAAAAGGATTTGCCCTCAAATCCGAATTGCCATCCAAATAAGGTGCAAGGTCAGAAACATTAAATGTTGCACTTACTCCATACTCCCCCAGCAAGTCGATCTTGTAGGCGTTGCTTCCAATCTTCGAAACCACCTGGAAAGGACAATCACATCGGGGCATCAACTTTGATTTCCTCTGCTGGGGAAACCTCTCCTTCCTCAAATGCACCCACACCCAGTCGCCAACTTCAAAGTGCATCGGTTTCCTCTTTTTGTTCACATTGCGCATGATCTGCTCCGTCCTTCTCTCAATGTTCAATCTCGCCTTCTCATGTAAACTCTTCACGAACTCAGCTTTCTTGGCTCCATCGAGATTGACCTGCTCGTTGACTCGCTATGACACAAGTCCTAACAATGGCCAAGTGTAACCAATGAAAGGGACTGCAGTATAGTGGCTCAAGTAATAAATATCAAATCCACGTTGACTCGCTATGACACAAGTCCTAACAATGGCCCTTCTAGTTGTGGGAGAAATTCTTCTTGATAATGATGTTGTTCTTGATATGCCCATGGGTCTGATTGTTCTACGTACTAAGGGGGTTGGTACTGGAACCCGAATCCATAGTATTCTCCTCCTTGATTGCTGCAGGGAGTCTCGGGGTAATACCACTCGGATGGTGGTGGATCCCCCAATGGTTGGAGAAGCCATGAGGATCCATGATTCAGATCTGCACCAACAAAAATAAAAACACCCAAGTGAAAAGCAAGGGTGGAAAAGAAAAGAAAAACGCTAAAGTAACAAACTTCTGCCTTTCCTAATAATCTAGAAAGTCCCCGGCAACGGCGCCAAAAACTTGACTCGCTATGACACAACTCCTAACAATGGCCAAGTGTAACCAATGAAAGGAACTGCAGTATAGTGGCTCAAGTAATAAATATCGAATCCACGGGTCTCTAGAGTTACTATTACTCATCTTCAGTTCATTATCTAGCAAACCAGATTAAGATGAAAGAACTAAAACTACTCTAGCAAACTACAGTTAAAGTTAATCTAATTACAGTTGGGAACTCACTTAGGTATGATTCCCCCTAGCCACTAGCCAGATTAACGATTCATGATCTCTAACTTTTTTCACTTTCATTCACAATGCCGAGAATCCTTGACTAGACCTTGAGTCTCTACTAAAGGAACAAGGCCCTCTTGAGTCAATTGCCTAGAGGGACGTATCCTTCTCTAGAACAACCGATCAAGGCATTCTGAACTAGACTCCCTCTATCGAATGAGGTTCTCAATCGATACAAAGCAGTGAATCGACCCTCGACTAAAGCAATCGATCCACTACTATCAATCTAAGGTGCTCTATTGACCTAATCAGGTATTCGCTCTCATAGGATCAAAGCAGAATCAATAATCTCGACTAAAGCAGAATTGAATCATGAAAACATGCATAGATTGAATATGAACTCAAGATTATCAAGTCAGAGTACTCATACAATCACCCAATCAAACAAACATAGCTAGGGTTCCTCAAAACCTAAGTGAAGGGAAGTTACTCCATAGAGAAGAGAGAGTGATGGACCGTTAATTACACATGTTTTTACCCCTGTTCTTACACCGTTTGAGATGTAGTTTCTCGTGTTTTAGGCCGATTTCACGCTAGGTTGTGCTTGTTTCTGATATTTCAGGTCCTAGTACGTGAATGGAGGCTTGGGAGCGAGTTTGGGGTCGATTGGACGAAGATCGGACGCGTGGCGAGGTGCTGAGGAAGCCACACGGGCATTCCTGGATATCACACGGCCATGCAGGTCATGCTTGTGGCTGTGTGATTTGTGCGGAGAGCAAACACGGGCAGAGCAGAATTTCCACACGGCCGTGTGGGAAGCCTGAAATGTAACTAATCGATACGCCGCGTTTTGAGCCATACGGGCAACTGGGTGAGCCACACGGCCGTGTGGCCTGCCCGTGTGAGTCGGGAAACCTTGGTTTTTACCCAAAACCGAGCCACAAGTGAGAGAATCGGATTTTCAGGCAAAAACAGAGCCCTAGAGAGAGAAAGTGCGAAGAACACATCCTAGAAGCTATCTTGGAGCTGGGTTTCATCAAATCGAGCTTGGAGATCGTCATAGGTGTCGCAACCGTCCCTCCGGGGGGTCCGATGTCGTCGCGTCGGCGATTTTGGGAGTCGCCATCGATCTTACTTGGAGTGGATCGAACACTCTTCGAATCGGCTCTAACCTTAGGGTCAGAACCGAGATATGGTCTGCGGTTAAGAGATATGGGTTCGGGAGTACGGTTACGTGTGGGGAAGTTAAGCAACACCCCCACAACACCCTTAATCGGTACTACTTAAGTCTGATAAGTTTTATATTCGTTGGGTGTATTTTAGTAATAATTTAGTAATTTTAGGGTCCCACTGGACCATTAAATAATTAAATCGTATTAATTATAATTTAATTGTACGCCCACTGACGTAAAAGATAAAGTTAATTGGTTAGTTGGGCTCGAACCTTGTCGGTTGCCTACGTACCCGTTAGACGGGATCAAAGTCCACGTAGTTCGTTAGGGACCTTGATAATTTTAAAGGTAATTTTTACCACGTTCCACCGATCGTGGTTCTCGCGTATTAAGGATTTTGTTAACTTTGATAGTTTTAGTTATAACTTTTAACACGTTCCACTGAACGTAATTTTCGTATTATAATTTTGTTAATAAAATTTTATTTAGATTATTATGATGTTACAAAAATAAATGCAAGGATTTTAGTTATTAGGAAGTATTTTGACGTATTGGGAAAAACAACGAGATAAACTTAATCCGCATTCTACATTTCGTATTAAGAATTTGGAACAAATAAAATCAACTGAGATAATTATATTAATGCATTATGGGTCTGCAACCCAACTGGTTAAGTTGGCTGTCATCATAGACCGTCACTCTCATTCGAGGTATATAAGCTTCACTTGTGAAAACTTAATTCAGCCTAAAGAGAGGCGGCCGCCCTCTCTCTCTCTCGTCACTCTCATTCTCGCCTCTCTCTCTTCCTCTCGATCCTTCCACTTCTCTCTTCCTCTTCCAGAAACAAATCAAACCATAGCCACCCTCTCTTCTCCTCTTTCTTATCTCGTCTCTCTTCCACCATAGACCGAAACCCTAGCCATCAATTAACACCGCCGCCGCCATCCTCTCTCTGCTTCGCCCCTCTCTCTCGTTTTGCCCATCTCCTTCACTCTAAAAAAAAATGAAAACCGAAGGAGAGGGAGGCAGCAAAACTCGACTCCTCCTTTCTACCATCCGTCGTGGCCGCCCTATCGCCAGCCGAGGAATCCGACCACGACGGACCTAACTCGGAGACTTCCTCCCTAGATGTAAGTAAAATCGACATGCATGGCCTTTTTCTTTGTATTTTATGATCTTATTTTTATCGGGATTTTGCTAATTTTTCTAGGTTTTGGTTTTGTGCGAGGCGGAAGGGAGATCGACGACACTCAGACCTCGTCGGCAGGGATGGCGAGCCTTGCCGCCGGCTAGAATGGGGTAGGCTCAGATCTGTTTAGTTTTTATGTTTTGTTGTTTTTTCGTATTCTTACTTGTTTTTGAATTTCTGGGTTTTCTTTTGGGGTTTCGATGGGAGGAGAAACAGAGGATGGCGCCGGCCCCAGAATCCGCCGGCAACGAACGCGGCGGTGGTTTGACGACGGCTAAGGCGGGTGAGATCTTTTTTTTGTTGTTTTTTTGTTGTTTTATTACCTCTTTAATCGATTCTAACCTCTACTTTTGTTTTGACACAGGTTTTGAAAAATGGGCAGATCTAGGTAAGGATCACTCTAAACTGAGTTTAGTATGACTGGGGAGGTTAAACTAAAATTAATGGACTAATGAGATTTTTAACATAGCTATCGGGTCTGGATTCCCAATAAAACTGGTTATGTATGAGTTTGTGTGAATCGAAATGGTATTTTTTTGGACTCCACTTAGTATGGCTAGAGGTTAAAAATATGAAAAGGGGATTTGCTTGTTATTGAATTTCGAATTTGATGGTAAATCTGTGTTTTTGGTAAAAATGGTTGTTTTTGTATGCTTTTTGACTCTTAATGTGCTAATCAGTTGCCTAAAAACGCATATAGTTTTACTTATAATAGGCTAGATCATTAATTATCACAGCCACTGCTTGTGATTTGGTAGACTGTCGCCTGTAAATAACTGCTTCTGCTTGTGATTTTGATTAGATTAGGATTTTGGTTGGTTTAAAAACTGGTGAGAGTTTGTGAATGGTATAATCTTGTGTTTATAGTTGCCATAGATCTGGATTTGATGATGATATAGTGTTTATTCAACTATACGCAAAAAGGAAATATGAAGGTGTAGCATAAGATTAAAATAGACTATCAATCGATGAGAAAAGTAAACAAGTGCTAAATTGAAAGAAGCAGCATGCCATCACTATGAGCATATCTTATTTAAGCAAATAGAGTGCTTGGATATAAAGTGATTGTAAGGTAAATTGCTTGAATACAAATAGGCAAGCTGATGAATGATTGTAACTCTGCAATGATCGAGTAGAGGCTATGCTAAATGATCTTAAATTTACCAATAATAATGGGAGCAAAGTTAAAAAGCACCAACCTTGTTAAGATATCTGCTCCAATAATGCTTTCTTGATGCTGCTCCGATTCAATCCCTGGACTCAGTCTCGTGTTGTATTGGAGTTAGAATTTCTGTATGTATTTTTTCTTTTTAATCCCCCCCCAAAACATAGAGCCCCAAGAGCTCATTTATAGCAAAAAGGCTGTGCCACGTGTCTTTACTTCCTTGGTCGATTTTGAGGCCCATTGTGAGGCCTCCACCACAGTTGGTCGGTTCTGCATGGTCAGGATAGGGTTGGCACACAATTTTAAGCTTAAATGGCAGAGCTGTGGGCCTGTATTTTGGGCCGACTTGGCCTTCGTTTGGGCTTGGAATGGGCTGGGATGGACTTGAATTTGGGCTTAAAAATCTGGAATTGGACTAATTGGTCTCTTCTAATTTTTTCAGGTAACTGGGCTTGGTTGACTGAGAAAGCTGGGCTAGTGGACCAGATTCATGCCTCAAAGTTCAAATATTCCTCTCTTTGTAATTGTATATGTACAAATCAAATTGCGTGGCCCAAATTTTGTAGAGTTAGTATTAGTCATTGTAATTAATTCTAATTCTTGTTTTATTTAAAGGTCATTACCCAAGTTGTATGATGTATCAAATAAAGCTCATTTCACTATTCAATTTGTCCCATTTCAAATACCGAATCCACTATAGTCACTTCTTCCATCCAATTGAGAATTTATATTTAAGATTTGCCACTGCTAATCTTTCTTACATCGATCCTATCTTAACTAATTAACTAATTATGTTCTAGAATCGACTATGAGCAAATTTGATAATTGTTGGTTCATATTGACTTGCAACTGCTAGTCTCAACCGAACTATATTCAGCTTCCTTTTTTAAATATAATCGTAGTACGACGTTACAATAATTACTTTCAGTAAAACAATTATCCCGGACAAAATGTGGTGTCTACAGTTGCCCCCCTTTGTATATCTCTTTGTATAAAGAGTTATACAAAGTTTCTATAAAGACACTACATTTTGAAAATGAAACTCTCGGAAGTAGAAATTGAGCTGATGCTTGGTAATAATGACGTATCCATATTGGTAAGATGATGGTAATCAAATTGTATAAGAAAATGGCAGTGATGAAATCAAAATTGCCATTCGGTAACAACTAACAACGATATATTCAAGTTGTTCGTGATAGGAACAAATTAAACGATTTTGAAACATGTTAGCGATGAAATCAAGCTAACCATTTTGTAACAATGATATAATCAGGTCGCATGTGATAGAAATTTAGACAAACATCGGAATAAGTGTTAGGTATAAGATCAAGCTAACCGTGTTGTAACAACGATGTACTCAATTTTTTGTGTAAACGGATATTGTACTCAAATTGTCTATGATAGAAATCAAATAGAACAATGAGGAAGATATTAGCGATAAAGATCAAGCTAACAATTTTGTAAATGATGATGTACTCAAATTGTTTGTGATAGAAATCAAACGAAACAATGAGAAAATGTTAGTGATAGAGATCAAACTAACAATCTTGTAAAGGATATTGTACTCAAATTGTCTATGATAGAAATCAAATAAAACAATGAGAAAATGTTAGTGATAAAGATCAAACTAACAATTTTGTAAATGATATTGTACTCAAATTGTCTATGATTGAAATCAAACAGAACAATGAGAAAATGTTAGTGATAAAGATCAAACTAATAATTTTGTAAAGGATATTGTACTCAAATTGTCTATGATAGAAATCAAATAGAACAATGAGAAAATGTTAGTGATAAAGATCAAACTAACACTTTGGTAAATGATATTGTACTCAAATTGTTTGTGATAGAAATCAAACAGAACAATGAGAAAATGTTAGTGATAAAGATCAAACTAACAACTTTGGTAAATGATATTGTACTCAAATTGTCTATGATAGAAATCAAATAGAACAATGAGAAAATGTTAGTGATAAAGATCAAACTAACAGTTTGGTAAAGGATATTGTACTCAAATTGTCTATGATAGAAATCAAATAGAACAATGAGAAAATGTTAGTGATAAAGATCAAACTAACAATTTTGTAAAGGATATTGTACTCAAATTGTTTGTGATAGAAATCAAACGAAACAATTGAGAAAATGTTAGTGATAGAGATCAAACTAATAATCTTGTAAAGGATATTGTACTCAAATTGTCTATGATAGAAATCAAATAGAACAATGAGAAAATGTTAGTGATAAAGATCAAACTAACAATTTTGTAAATGATATTGTACTCAAATTGTTTGTGATAGAAATCAAACAGAACAATGAGAAAATGTTAGTAATAAAGATCAAACTAACAACTTTGAGAAAATGTTAGTGATAAAGATCAAACTAACAACTTTGTAAATGATATTGTACTCAAATTGTTTGTGATAGAAATCAAAGAGAACAATGAGGAAGATGTTAGTGATAAAAATCAAACTAACAACTTTGAGAAAATGTTAGTGATAAAGATCAAACTAACAACTTTGTAAATGATATTGTACTCAAATTGTTTGTGATAGAAATCAAACAGAACAATGAGGCCGATGTTAGCGATAAAGATCAAGCTAATAATTTTGTAAATGATGATGTACTCAAATTGTTTGTGATAGAAATCAAACAGAACAATGAGGAAGATGTTAGCGATAAAGATCAAACTAACAATTTTGTAAATGATATTGTACTCAAATTGTTTGTGATAGAAATCAAACAGAACAATGAGAAAATGTTAGTGATAAAGATCAAACTAACAATTTTGTAAATGATATTGTACTCAAATTGTTTGTGATAAAAATCAAACAGAACAATGAGAAAATGTTAGTGATAAAGATCAAACTAACAATTTTGTAAATTATATTGTACTCAAATTGTTTGTGATAGAAATCAAACAGAACAATGAGGAAGATGTTAGCGATAAAGATCAAACTAACAATATTGTAAATGATATTGTACTCAAATTGTTTGTGATAGAAATCAAACAGAACAATGAGAAAATGTTAGTGATAAAGATCAAACTAACAATTTTGTAAATGATATTGTACTCAAATTGTTTGTGATAGAAATCAAACAGAACAATGAGAAAATGTTAGTGATAAAGATCAAACTAACAATTTTGTAAATGATATTGTACTCAAATTGTTTGTGATAGAAATCAAACAGAACAATGAGAAAATGTTAGTGCATAGTGGTATTTCGCATGAACAGTTTCCACGTGTTTTTATACAAATATATTTTAGAAATTTGGAAAATGTTTGTGATGCATAGCGAGTCACTTTGATGTATAATGATGTTATGCAGTGAGTTTCGAAATGATTTTGACAATGATTGTGTAATGTGTCATGCAAATAATATCGTGAATGTTAAGTAAAAAAGATGGTATGATGCATTAGACAATTGGTATGCAAATATGTTGTTTTGTTTTTCGTTTGTTGTCTTGTTTTTACTCGGGGTTCCTTTAAATTGCTCGTCCTCTAGGAATTGTCATTTCCTTTTGTTCAACTTGATCCTCAGGTTTTTCTTAGGTTGGAGAGACTTTCAGCCTGCTCTCTTGAAATTTATCTTTGTGGTGGTAGTTGTGTGAGGATATACTTTGTATGGTGAAGTGATGATGTATGCTGCTTCATCTTTCTTCTCGGCCAGGTATGGGCCTGCGGTATAATATGACTTCTTTCTTGCTATGCATTTGAAGTATAATTGATTGGTCGGTTGTCTTGATGAGATATGAATGTTCTCGGGAGATTTCCTCATCAACTCATGAGTGAAAGTTGATTAATTTGATTCTTGGGTACTCAGGCTTCCCCTTCTTGCATGGTGCACCATTTTTGCCCCTGAGGATCCGTTACTTTCTATTCTCTGGAACAATGAGTGACTATATCAATCTTGACTTAAGACGAAAGCAAAAATGTTTGAAAACGTCTATTAGAGAATTAAAATTGAAAGCCATATCAAGACTTTGCTTTCGAGAAGTGTGTGCAAACTGGACAAAACCTTTTTTTTTTTTTTTGCGTGGTAGTTGCCATGATGCCAAATTTGGTTTTCTTTTTAGTAAGAGAAGTGTAAGCCAAGCCATGAGAATATCAGTAAGCCCTCGCTCTCACTCTTGATTTCGATTTTGATCGCTCTCACTCCCGCTTTGGATTTCGCTCAACACTCATTCCTATAGGTGATTTGAGTGTACGACACTTCAGCTACCATTAAGATTCTGGTCGCCTTGAGGCGTCGCCTATATGTTGTGACCAACTGTGTTCCTTGTGATGATTTACTCAAATATGGAATCCCTTAGTATGATTGATTTAGGAGGCTTCCATATGGCTTCGTCGAAGACATTTTTAGTCTCCCATGAAAGAGGCTTTTGTCCGATATGACCTCGAGGATACGAGTCTCCTTGTTCTTGAGGTGTAGTTTATTCAGATGGGTGGCGAGTATATGAAATCTTAACATTATCCGTATAAAGCTTCTTGTAGAGGGATTTTGGCTTTTGCCCCCAGAGTATGTGATTGACTTGATGGGTTAACAACCACTATTATCCGGATCCTTTTGCTGACAAAGTCATGTTCGAAAATACAGGCTGTTTCTTTTTGGGAATGCATCTTCAACTGGGTTTGCCCCCCAGTATTTTTCACTAGCCAAGACTGTGATATTCGTGAGTGCAATCTGGCTTGGGACTTGTCGAGATCCTTGTTTGGCCTCTAAATGTTGAATGGTATAGATTTTCAGCTTCTGGCTTTCTCTCAAAATGATGAATACCTTGGATGATGTGGTTTTGGCTATGACGATTTTCTTATCATGGAAGTTTCTTGCTTGAAGGTCCTCATTGTCGTATCTTGAGGTTGATCGGCAAAGATCTTGGCTTGGTACAGATAGTTGGTACTTCAAATGCTAAACCGGGGCACCCAGATTGTAAGTCCCACGATATTTTGTTTGTTTTTCTTTTCTCTTTTTTTTTTGGTGTGTGGGACTTACTTGACTCTGTCATGCCCACATATACGTTTCTTTCTTCCTTGATCTATTATTTGTCTTTGGTAGGAGTAGTATCGAAAAGTGGAGAGTTTGTCTTGATGATTGATAATGTAGGTGCCTCTTCTCGTTGGCTAGGTTGAATAGACTATTCTTTTTCCGTACAAGCGAGGATTATGAGACAATGTGCTTGTTTGTATAGATGAGTGCTTCACTCGTGAGACTCTAAGAAGGTTTTCTTGCTGTTATAGAAATGTTTGGCTCCTTGTGCATCGGAGTTTGGCTATTTGACTTCACGTAAACTGAGCTCAATTTGTTGGCGAAAGTCGTCTATAGTGGTGACGAGATTCTACAAGTAGCATGATGTCGTATACTCATTACACCTTTTGACTATTAGCTCACATAACTCATGGTCACCAGTTGGGTGTTTATCTCTCGATTTTAGCAAAACAAGTACACTCATAACACTAGTGGGTGCTCAAAATATTGATAGTAGCATTGTGTTTATAATCGCTCGACACCAGTGGAGTGTCCCAAATCTCAGCACCAGTGGGGTGCTCACATTTTCTTTGCATGAAAATCTCATGGCTTAGCTTGAAAATAAAATTGGATTTTGATGGCTTTCATTTTTGAGAAAATAAATCCGTTTAAAAAAAAAGAATCCGAAGTGGCATTTGTTATTTTGATAAAAAAACATTGATGCGAACTCTTAAATTAAGATTGATACTGTTCACACGATGCTCCAAAGAGGTCATAACGTGAAAGACCTTTTATTCATGACGATGAAAGTAAAAGTGGTACATATTTTGTCATGGCAAATTATCTCGATATTTCATTTATTGGATAGGATCAACATCATCCTTGAATCGAGTTTTGCCTTGTAGTTCGTCCAACTAATTCCCGTGAATTGGCAGTGGATTCTTGTTGACGTCCGGACTTTTTGGATTTTCTTCGAACTTCAACCAATCGGCGTTCAGTATTTGTTGGACCTTGATCTTGAGCGATCTACAATTATCCGTTGAGTGTCCCGCGACGCCTGAGTGGTAAGCACAGTGTTGCTCCGACTTGTACCAATTTGGATAAGGAGGTTTCATAGGCTCACATGGTACTATGACAATGAGGTGACTTTGGATTAGCCGAGGGAGAAGTTCGGTGTATGTAATGGGAATAGGGTCAATTTGGATGGGTTTCTCGTATCTCCCCGAACTGTGTTGGTAGTGGTTATTTGGTAGTCATGTGACTTGTGTCGGCATCTGCACTGCTGGTTGAGTAGGAGATCTCGACGTTGAGCAATTGGTGCAGCATCAGCAATATAGTGATGAGCTCGATCCTTTTGAAATCGGCACTGCCAAGTACTTTCTTTTGCTTGTCCTTGAATTATTTTGATCACTTGCTCTGGCAGATTATCATGTTTTGATCCTGTATTTTTATGATCATGCATGTTCTTTGAGGCCACGACGTCAGTTTTATCGTTCGATGTTACTTTGCCGTGCGGTTGGTAGGAAATTTCTTCGTCGAATGACGTATCTCCACTTTTCACTTCCATTGTCTTCTTGATTTTTGACAAAATTCTCAGAATCATGCTAACATCCTCTTTCATTTCTTCAAGCCCAATCACTCTTCTCTTGATGTCATCTAAATCTTTCTGAAATGCCTCCATGACGAGCTTAGCCTTCGATCTTGTCGAATACTTAAGGATTAGACTTTTTTTCCTCGTGGAAGAGCAATTTTATGAAACCTAATTACGTCTTAGCATTGTTAAATTGTTTTTATTTTTTTGTAGGTATGCATGGTGCTTATGCAAAATTTAAATGATGTATGAATGCAAAAATGGTTTCTTGTGATGCATATGCTTTGCAAAACATTTGTACGATCAATTCTGAATTAATAAATGAAAGTTTTAAAGAAAATATAAGGATTATGAAATTTTAAAACAACTTTCATCCAAACAATCACGCTAATTAAGAGCAATGCACATAAGACAACTTATCACGTCAACAACAAACATATATTTATATGATAGAAAGAACATTTCCCTACTTAGGTACACCTAGGGTATTCGGGCGGCGTAACAACATGATTTTAGGGTGGTTTTGGGGGATTGTTTTGGACGGCTTAGGGAGGTCTCTATGTTTACTATATGCTGGCAGGGGGAATTCCTAGGGATTTGGCTCCCAAGTTGTACCCCGCTATAGCCCTTTCGAGCTAGCTGGGTACCTCAAGATCAACCTCGGATCTGAGTTCAACTTGGTTGGAAAGTTTTGTGTGGTTTCCACTACTGTGAAAGTCACGGTACTCCTTTTCCGTTTCTAATAGGATAGCTCGGGTATAGAGCTTTCATGCATGAATGCAGAATTTAATTGCGAAAATATAATTGCGCAAATAGTAAAGTAAACACCCAACACGTAATAGAAAATTAGAAAACTTATCGAACTTAGTTATGTAGCTCGACTCTCGAGGTCCCCAGCGGAGTCGCCAACTGTCGCAACCGTCCCTCCGGGGGGTCCGATGTCGTCGCGTCGGCGGTTTTGGGAGTCGCCATCGATCTTACTTGGAGTGGATCGAACACTCTTCGAATCGGCTCTAACCTTAGGGTCAGAACCAAGATATGGTCTGCGGTTAAGAGATATGGGTTCGGGAGTACGGTTACGTGTGGGGAAGTTAAGCAACACCCCCACAACGCCCTTAATCGGTACTACTTAAGTCTTATAAGTTTTATATTCGTTGGGTGTATTTTAGTAATAATTTAGTAATTTTAGGGTCCCACTGGACCATTAAATAATTAAATCGTATTAATTATAATTTAATTGTACGCCCACTAACGTAAAAGATAAAGTTAATTGGTTAGTTGGACTCGAACCTTGTCGGTTGCCTACGTACCCGTTAGACGGGATCAAAGTCCACGTAGTTCGTTAGGGACCTTGATAATTTTAAAGGTAATTTTTACCACGTTCCACCGATCGTGGTTCTCGCGTATTAAGGATTTTGTTAACTTTGATAGTTTTAGTTATAACTTTTAACACGTTCCACTGAACGTAATTCTCGTATTATAATTTTGTTAATAAAATTTTATTTAGATTATTATGATGTTACGAAAATAAATGCAAGGATTTTAGTTATTAGGAAGTATTTTGACGTATTGGGAAAAACAACGAGATAAACTTAATCCGCATTCTACATTTCGTATTAAGAATTTGGAACAAATAAAATCAACTGAGATAATTATATTAATGCATTATGGGTCTGCAACCCAACTGGTTAAGTTGGCTGTCATCAAACGCACCTGTTCCACTGAACGAGGGTTCGAGACCCGCTCACCCCATTTTTATCGTCGCTTTATTTTAGAGAAAGGGGAAGGGTAATTTTGTAATTGCATAAAAGGACGGTGGCAAGGCCATGTAAATCTGCAGAAACCCTAGGGAAAATTTGGTCCTTTTAAAATTCGAGGTATATAAGCTTCACTTGTGAAACCTTAATTCAGCCTAAAGAGAGGCGGCCGCCCTCTCTCTCTCGTCACTCTCATTCTCGCCTCTCTCTCTTCCTCTCGATCCTTCCACTTCTCTCTTCCTCTTCCAGAAACAAATCAAACCATACCTCTACTTTTGTTTTGACACAGGTTTTGAAAAATGGGCAGATCTAGGTAAGGATCACTCTAAACTGAGTTTAGTATGACTGGGGAGGTTAAACTAAAATTAATGGACTAATGAGATTTTTAACATAGCTATCGGGTCTGGATTCCCAATAAAACTGGTTATGTATGAGTTTGTGTGAATCGAAATGGTATTTTTTTGGACTCCACTTAGTATGGCTAGAGGTTAAAAATATGAAAAGGGGATTTGCTTGTTATTGAATTTCGAATTTGATGGTAAATCTGTGTTTTTGGTAAAAATGGTTGTTTTTGTATGCTTTTTGACTCTTAATGTGCTAATCAGTTGCCTAAAAACGCATATAGTTTTACTTATAATAGGCTAGATCATTAATTATCACAGCCACTGCTTGTGATTTGGTAGACTGTCGCCTGTAAATAACTGCTTCTGCTTGTGATTTTGATTAGATTAGGATTTTGGTTGGTTTAAAAACTGGTGAGAGTTTGTGAATGGTATAATCTTGTGTTTATAGTTGCCATAGATCTGGATTTGATGATGATATAGTGTTTATTCAACTATACGCAAAAAGGAAATATGAAGGTGTAGCATAAGATTAAAATAGACTATCAATCGATGAGAAAAGAAAACAAGTGCTAAATTGAAAGAAGAAGCATGCCATCACTATGAGCATATCTTATTTAAGCAAATAGAGTGCTTGGATATAAAGTGATTGTAAGGTAAATTGCTTGAATACAAATAGGCAAGCTGATGAATGATTGTAACTCTGCAATGATCGAGTAGAGGCTATGCTAAGTGATCTTAAATTTACCAATAATAATGGGAGCAAAGTTAAAAAGCACCAACCTTGTTAAGATATCTACTCCAAGAATGCTTTCTTGATGCTGCTCCGATTCAATCCCTGGACTCAGTCTCGTGTTGTAATAAAGAGATTGGAGTTAAAATTTCTGTATGTATTTTTTCTTTTTAATCCCCCCCCCCCCAAAACATAGAGCCCCAAGAGCTCATTTATAGCAAAAAAGCTGTGCCACGTGTCTTTACTTCCTTGGTCGATTTTGAGGCCCATTGTGAGGCCTCCACCACAGTTGGTCGGTTCTGCATGGTCAGGATAGGGTTGGCACACAGTTTTAAGCTTAAATGGCAGAGCTGTGGGCCTGTATTTTGGGCCGACTTGGCCTTCGTTTGGGCTTGGAATGGGCTGGGATGGACTTGAATTTGGGCTTAAAAATCTGGAATTGGACTAATTGGTCTCTTCTAATTTTTTCAGGTAACTAGGCTTGGTTGACTGAGAAAGCTGGGCTAGTGGACCAGATTCATGCCTCAAAGTTCAAATATTCCTCTCTTTGTAATTGTATATGTACAAATCAAATTGCGTGGCCCAAATTTTGTAGAGTTAGTATTAGTCATTGTAATTAATTCTAATTCTTGTTTTATTTAAAGGTCATTACCCAAGTTGTATGATGTATCAAATAAAGCTCATTTCACTATTCAATTTGTCCCATTTCAAATACTGAATCCACTATAGTCACTTCTTCCATCCAATTGAGAATTTATATTTAAGATTTGCCACTGCTAATTTTTCTTAAATCGATCCTATCTTAACTAATTAACTAATTATGTTCTAGAATCGACTATGAGCAAATTTGATAATTGTTGGTTCATATTGACTTGCAACTGCTAGTCTCAACCAAACTATATTCAGCTTCCTTTTTTAAATATAATCGTAGTACGACGTTACAATAATTACTTTCAGTAAAACAATTATCCCGGACAAAATGTGGTGTCTACAATAGGAGTGGAAATCATCATCCCAGAGCAGATTCTTCCCATTGTTATGAGTATGACTGCTTTGTATCCTGTTTTTCTCTCTCTCTCTCTATGGAGTAGAACCCTTCTCTCACTTGGGTATGAAGAACCCTAGTTCCATGTGTTAGGGATTTGATTGTAATGACTTGGGATGATTATACTGTTTGGTTTTAATCGAATGATGCATGTTTTATTGAATTGATTGAAGTCTGATCAGCTTTTCTTGATTTCTGCTGCAACCTGAGATAGATAGAATCTGATTAGGTTGTTAAAGCCTCTTCATTCGATAGTAGGAGATTGGTTATACGAGAGTTAGCCAGTTTACTGCTTTGTACTGGAATCCAATTTCAGTAGTGGAGTTCTGTGCTCATTGCTTCAGCTTTCTATCCCGGTGAAGACTAGTCGTCTGCCGGGTAGTTAGACTGAGAGGGCTTGGTCAGCTTAAGAGATTCCAAGCTACTGTCGGATCTTCCGCAGTCTAATCAACAGTGAATCAACCCAGGGTAATTACAATTGAACCTAACTAAGGAGCTAGGGGGACTCATTCCCGAGTGACTCTTTCCTGCTTTAGAAAACCGAACCATTTCCTGCTTTTTACTGCTTTTACTTTAAACACAAATCACTCGACTTAGTTGGCTAGATAATAGATAATCACGGAGTAAGCAGTAGATCTAGACCCCGGGTTGATAATAGAACTTGCCTGTTACTGCATTCCCAGACTGCGATTACACTTGGTCACAGTTTGGTGTTGTGTTTTGGCGTGTCAAGTTTTTGGCGCCGTTGCCGGGGAACCTCTAGGTTATTGGGGAAACGTGAGAATTTGTTACTCTAGCTTTTTCTTTACTGCATTGTTTTCTCTTCCACCTGTGTGCCTTCACGGGTTGCTTCTGCTGATTGTGTGAAGGTAGTGCATGACCCGTAGCCAGTCAGGAGAACTACTACCATTAGACCAGGAGCTTGAACGGACCTGCATGAACTTCAAGCGGGCTCTAAAGGCGCGACTGGCTGCGGAGGAGGCGCTACCACAGCTACAGATCACTGACGAAGAGGAAATGGCTGATCCAGAGAACCAGGATATGATCAATCCAGAGGAGCAGACCATGGGATCCTACTGGACCGCCAGAGCCGCGGACATGAGGTCACCCATTCAACACCCTCATGTTCCAGCCAACAATTTTGAGGTGAGCACCTCAGTAATCACCATGCTGCGCGGTTCAGTGGTGTTCCGTGGCAAGGAGGGTGAGTGCCCCCGATCGCATCTGAGGAGATTCCACGAGCTGATTGATGGAATCAAGATAAATGGGGTCCCCGCAGATGTCATCCAGTTGAGGTACTTCCCATTTACTCTGGAGGGGCAGGCAAAGGAGTGGCTAGACACTCGACCTCCGGGCTCTATCACCACGTTCGCCAACCTGGCGGACAAGTTCCTCACCCGCTACCATCCTCCATCCAAGACGGCTGACCTGCAGAAGCAAATTACCCATTTTGCTCAGGATGAGGATGAGACCATCAGGGATGATTGGGAGAGATACACCAGTCTCTTCCTCAGGTCTCCAATCATGGTTTCAATGATGCTTTCAAGGTGGGCACCTTCTATCACGCCTTCTTCCCGGAGGACAAGCAGCTGATTGACTCGGTTTGTGGTGGGAACATGCTACAAAAACACCGCCACAGCTGAATCAACTCTTTGAGGAGATGGCGGAGAACGGGTACGATTGGGGAACTGCCAGGAGATCGAGACGAGCACCAGGACGGGGTGTGCATGCTGTGGGCACCCAGTCATCTGATTTGGTGCAGGTGGTATCGAAGCTGGTTTCAGCTATCGATCGCTCTGGATTGATTGCAGGTACAGGACAGCCGCAGGCGATACACTGCCAGTGGTGTGAGAGCTCCCATCACACTGTAGAGGACTGTTAGGCGATGAGGGAATCGTCTACTCCCCAGGAGCAGGTGGACTTCATCAGTAATGGCAGGCGCTTCGACCCCTACAGCAACACTTATAACGAGGGGTGGCGCCAGCATCCTAACTTTTCTTGGGCTGGGGCAAATCCCAGACCACCAGCTCCCCAGGGACCACCCGGCTTCCAGAGGCCTCCTCACAAGCCCAGACAAGGGCAATTTCAGCAGCCGCAACAGCCTCTCTACCCGCCCAGACAGGGGCCAGTTCCACCTCAGTCACAGGTGCGACCATTTCATCAGACAGGGGCAGCACCTGCAGCCCCAGTACAGATTGACCCGATGGCGGAATTGAGAGATTTGGTGGGTTCTCTGGCCACCTCCAGTGCAAACAAGTTCAATAACATCGAGTAGTTCATGGAGAAAGCTTCAGGTAAATTCTTGGAGCTAGAAGCTGGTCAGAGAAACACACAGGCTGTGCTGCGGGATATACAGACTCAACTTGGGAGTGTTGCCCAGGCTGTAGCTCAGAGGACTCCGGGTACCTTGCCTGGTCAGACCATCCCTCACCCGTAGGACCCGAATGCCAACTGCAGTGCAATCACAACCAGGAGTGGCAAGATGACTGCCGATCCACCTGTTCGGGCAGCGGAGAGAGAGACTCCTGCTTCAACACTTCCAGCTAATCAGGAAGAAATGGAGAAGGAGGTTGAGGTGCCTGCTCCTAAACCGCCACCAGTGGTGAAGGAGTATGTACCACAGCTTCCCTTTCCTACTCGGTTGCACAAGGACCGACTGGAGACTGAGTTTGCCAAATTCATGGCAATGCTGAAGCAGGTAAACATAAGCATGCCCTTCATGGAGGCATTATCGAAGATGCCCAAGTATGCCAAGTTCATGAAGGATCTCCTCACCAACAAGAGGAAGCTTGGGGAGCTGTCAAATGTGATGCTCAACGAGGAGTGTTCTGCCATCCTGCAGAACAAACTACCAGAGAAGTAAAAAGACCCAGGGATTTTCACTATCCCTTGCATGATTGGTAGTTTGCATGTAGGGAAGTCCTTGGCGGATTTAGGCGCTAGCATAAATGTCATGCCATATAAACTGTTTAAAAAGCTAGGCCTAGGTGAACCCAGTGATACTAGGATGAGCATTCAACTTGCTGATAGATTCATTGTGCATCCTAGGGGTATAGCAGAGGACTTGATAGTCGCAGTAGGGACATTTTCATATCCTGTTGATTTTGTGATTTTGGACATAAATGAGAATGTTGATGTGCTATTGATACTGGGTAGACCTTTTCTCGCCACCGCCAAGGCGCTCATTGATGTGAATGATGGAAAACTGGTTTTACGAGCTGGGGGTGAACAAATCACCTTTTCTGTTTCTGATAATATGAAACACCCCAAGCTCCATGATGATTTAGACTACTGTGATGTTGTTGCTGATTTTGAAACCGCACTCGCCATCACGAGTGCGGGTACTGATGATTTCCTTGAGCGCTGTCTTTTGCTAGGGGAACAGGCA